GCTGAAACTGTTGCTGAAAGTGTGCTGGGAATTTGTTATTTCTGAGGTCCATGAGAGTGCAGCTTCGTTCCATATCTGTACTAAATGGTACTAATAATTCAAACAATATAACACCCAAGGAGTAGATATCCACCTTGTAGTTATATGGGAGAGACTGTGCCTAATAAATAGAAAAGCATGTCAGTTGTAATACTGGAAACACTGTGATCATGCAGGATATTTAGAGTGTCTTCTGACACAGGACTGAAACCTAAAAAAATAACATCCTGAGAATATATAGTTTCGGTAACAGACATATATAAAAATTCCATTAATTCAAAATTCAACAAGAGATACATTTTGTTGCAGCAATTTAATAATCTTGTCCATTTTATTAATGCAAGTCTGCCCCTTAATTCACATTCGAGTTCTTCTACAAACAGCCTTTTCTGACTGATAAGAGAGGACCAGAGTCAGTTATTTTAGTGATGCTTATTAAAGAAAACACTGATAATTTCATATAAAAAAGTAGTACTCTGAAGTGATGACTGAAAAAAGCTGCAAAGGGCAGAATTTGCTTTCTTTCATTACTTCACTGAAGCAAAGAAATCAACTGGCATGTTAAGTTACAATAAATAGTTTGCATTTTCTAAAAACTGACAATCACAATATATACATCTACATAAATACATCGTAATATGGAAACAGCGCAAAATCTCAAAAAACTTTCTTCTGCTCCAGAAGACTCCCCAACAACCTCCTTAAGAATTGGACCAGATCTCTGAATTACTTGCATATACGCAATGACCTACAATACACACTTGTATGATACAATTAAAATTTGCTACATAGTAACAATATACTAAACGTAACCAACCTGTTCTGGACTCATGTATAACTGCGTGCCAACATGTGCAGTATGTCTCTCATCAGCACACAGCACACCAATGGAATCAGAGTTGGGTGTTCTCTGGTTGGTACTGCTTTCCGCTATAGCTGTTACTAGCCCAAAGTCACCAACTTTTATCCGACCATCCAATGAAAAGAATATGTTTGATGGCTGTAAATAAAATTAATGTCTATATACTGTTCCAGAAATATCGTCTTCTTCAAACAACTCTACATCATACTATATTTGTATACGTATCGCACATACCAGTGTAAACTGTCACCTTGATGTAAGTAGCAAATATTGAGGAAAAAATCTAGTTATTTAACATTCATTGCTGAAAGTTTAAATGACAGTTCAGTCTGGTGAGACAAGAAGCCATGATTAAACAGACTAGCATAAGGATATTCAGTCAAAATCAAATTATTACATTGATTATATGTCAGGAACTTATGCATATATTTTTATTCCTTGAACTACATAATATAACCTAAGAATGATAAGTCAGAACTGAACATCTAGCATGGAAAATATTTAATACAATGAAAATTAACTATGACATCATAAGTTGTCATTGGCAGTGATTATGTTAATATTTACTTACATTTTAAAGCTAACGTACATCAACAAAAATACCAAGATATAGTAATTACCAGTAATCACAATTGCAAAAAGCACATGAAGAATAAGAAAAGCATTATTGAGGGGAGAGATTACTGTATCCACTGGAAAATAAAGTAGTATGAAAAACTTTTAAAAACATACACACTAGGTATGATGACACATTTTAGAATTCCAAAGGATTTCAATACCACTCACACTGTTAACAAATGAGTTTATAATATGTTACCATATAAATGTTACATGTTAAGTAGGAATGATTCAGCAGTTGATCACTACATCATAATATCACAAAGTTGCTTGAAGTAGATTTCAGTTTTAACCTTAATAAGTGCTTCATACTTTTGAAGAAAGATGTTTTAAGAACTAATAGCTCAAATGTTGCCACAGATACAAGTTTCATGTAGACTGCCAACTAGTATCTGTAATGCTGATAACTGTGAATGTAGTGACAAACACAGATACAGTCCAGGACTGTAATCTTGAGACTTGCGGGGTGAGGAAGTGAGGTAACGGAGGGAGGAGGAAAGATAGCGTCTGCCTTTAACACTTCAGACTTCCTGCATTCCTTGTACATCTCAAGATTACAGTCATGGACTGTACATGGAGCTGGATGAAAACTCTTCCTTCCACACCCTAAAAACTAAGGGAAAAAATAAACATCAAACTCCTCCTCTTTGGTTGTCTGCAACTCTGTATTGTTAAATACATAACTAACGAACTGTCTCTTCCATCCATTAGCTGAGGTTGCACCACAAAAAAGTGACTGCAGATCTGCTTAGCATGGATACAGCATGTTTGTTTGTACTTTGATTAATTAAGCTGCCAGTAGCTCTTCTTGGCTCTATAACCCAGTGTGGGTCTTGGCTGCTTCCTTTCAGAGGTTTCTTGATCTATTTAGCTCTAGACATTTGGTAGGGACTTCTTGGATGAGTGATCAGCCCATTGCAAGGCCTCTAGCAAAGAGGTGGATAAGAAACAGCTGCTGAATTTTGCTTACAAAACATCTTGTTCATGCTCGCAAGGTTCTTTTACTTGCCATAAATCTACGACATGGGACCGTCGGCTTTACTTCCCCTCTGAAGGAAGTTGTTCTATGGATTGTTATCACCCTTAAAAATCCATCGACCTAGGGCAGGTTTGAACCCGTGAACCTTGGGTCCGGTGGCGAGCACGCTAACCACTAGTCCACTGAGGGCAACATAATAAATATATAGAAACTCAAAATCTAAATCAAGAATAAATTTAGATAAAAAAAAGGGGGATTTCACTATTTATAACCTCTAAAGTTATTAAACCAATAACAAATTACTCTCACCTTCAGATCCCTATGGATCAAGCCTTGCAGGTGGACATACTCTACAGCTTGAACAATCTGCTCAAACATCGGCAGAACAACATATGCACTTCTACTAGACACATTGTCTCTCAACCACTCCTTCAAACTCTCTCTGCGACACAGCTGCATCTGAATGAACAAGTACATGCGAGATGCTTTAGGAGAAGGCATCACAATTCCACCTCCACTGGAAATGTCAAGAGACAACGGTCGCCTGTGACCAACTTTCTTCTTGGAGTCATGGCATTCAGTAGCAGAAGAAGTCCTTTTTCTTCTGCTTTCTTCACCCCATGCAGATAGACACATACTAGAGGTTTCAGAATTACTGCAATATAATACATCTCTACTTACTCCCCTACTATGTTCTGTTACTTCAAATCCATCTTGAGAGCTGCGTTTGTTGTCATCATTAACTGTAAGTTCTGATTCATGACCACCTGACGTTTCAAACACAATGAAAGAATCACTCTTGTCTGGGTTGTACCTGGGTATCTGTTGGATAGAGGTGCAACTCTCTGACTCACTGTCACTTCCTACATTTAGAAACACAGAGGAACACTTGTCTTGTTTTGCAGAAATATCTGAAGATAGGTGTCTCTGCAGAGAAGTTCCTTGAGTCTGGCTGGTGAAGTCAACAGACGCAGTACTCACAAGTGAGCAGAAGGCATCACTGTAAAAGAAGAGAAAATGTCATGCATGCTCTCTTATATCCCAGAGCACTAAAACTACAGATTACTCAATTTTTGGTCTTACTACTCAAAGAATAACAGAATCTGTTTAACCCCTTAAAGCACACATAAAACCTGTAAATTCTGAAGAAATAATGGACCATATACACATCCCACTGAAGGTGTTTTCATATGTAAACCACCATGGCAGTAGCTAAGAGTTACTCATTAATAGTTTTACAGTAAAAGCCATTGAAACAAAAGAAATATGGTTTACACTTAAGACATAGCTCACCAAAACCATGACAATGCAGTTAAAAGAATTGGGCAGAACAAGAAAATATGTAATACAGAACCCCATTTAATGTTCATCATTTTAATGCCTCCCCTCATTTAAGGTTTAATTCCAGTGATGCCACATCAATAATTTATATTACATTTCAATAATAATCATTATTCAACATTAATCAAAATTAAATTTTGTGCATTTAAAGTTTCCCTCAGTGTTCAAATCTGCTGCCTTACGTATGGATTTCACTGTATTTGGAAACCTTTTCAGTAGGGGTTCCCATAATACATTACCGATCAAATTTTCTGTACTTACCAATTAGGAACCAATTTATCCTGCTCCTCTTGCCAACCAGTTGGAGGGCACTCCAACCAGGCATTGAAGTAGCGAACAATATTATGGTGTTCCAGCTTAGCTAGGGCCTTTACCTCCCGCATCACACGATCACGAGATTCTTGCCTGACAGCAGATATCACAGACAAACTTCCAGATTATCTTGCAATGGTTTTAATCATTTAAACAGAATGATCATGACTTTTGCCAAAAATATCAGACACTAGCAATGAATAGGTTTATTGTTTTAAAATGTCAGCAAAATAAATTCATTTCCTGCCTTTTCCTTCTTAATTCAAATTATTTGTGATAGTTTATCAATGGAAGTCATGTCAAGATAACTTGAATATGTCATGTAAACAAAAAGAACACATTTTGTAAATAAAACTCAGCATGGCAAGACTTAAAGCAACTAAAATTTTAGTGCTAAATAAATACTATAATTTGTTTTGTGCCTTAGGCGAGGTTCCATCAAAATGTTGTTCCACATCCCCATGTATGCTATTATATTGTCAGTTGGGCTACATCAATGACGAAGAACGGTGCAACTGCGGACAGACTCAGACCCCAGAGCACCTATCATATGTCCAACGATGGGCGAACTCTGTACGCAACAGGATTTGATGCTAGCTAACGACAAGGCGATTATTGTTGCAGAATTTTGTAAAAATACTATTTAGGCATTGCTGGACATGGAAATTAAATGAATGGATATTGTCAATCCACATTAATTTTGACTAACTACAATAACATGAGTTATAGAATATACTCTGTGCAATAAACATCAAGCACTTAGATTTTTTTAAATCTGAAACCAAAAGTAATGTAAGCACTGTAATCCCAATTATTCATGTGGAACTCATACTAAGAGCATTTGAAAAT